GCCCTCTGCCTCTGCCCCTCTCAGAGCTGGACCCATCTCGCCAGCCCTGTGGCATCCCCCAGCCCCTCTGCTCTCCTCCTGTCTGCCACAGCCTTCTCCAAGGGTAGTGCCCAAGTAGGCAACGCCGGGGAGAGGAACCCTCCCCCGTGTCTTGCACTTGTGCCAACACACTCATGGGAGGAAAATCCACCTACTGAACAGCAAAATGCTGGAGCCTGGGGAATGGCTGCCTGCTGCCCAGCTCCTTACACAGCCACTCGGGACAGCATCAGAGTTGGGACGTGGGGCTTGTTGGACCTTCGGGAGAGCCAGCACAGCCATATCTATGTTCGCAGAAAGTCCTGCCTGCTTGGAAACAGCATCGAACTTGCTGTCGCCGGGAAGCTGTATCTGTGCACTGGTTAATCGGTAATGAAAATACCAACCACAGCTGGGCCAGGGCAGGCTCTCAAAAACTACTCATGGGTATCCCGAGGTTGCCCCAAGGAGCCATCCCTGCAACACGCAGGGACACCTAGGAACAAAATACCCTTAAACCGCCGGCCGTTTGCTGCCGGGCTGGCCGCCAGGGTAGCCCCCGAGGTGCTGAGCCCTCTCCCGGCACGCACGCCGCGCTCCTGTCGCCTTCGCTTTCCCCTCACGGCGTGAGCACCTTGGCTTGCCAATAAAAGCTGCTGGCTTTGCCTCAGTTCGTGCGCAGCCGGTATTCTCCCTTGCAGCTCTGCCCAAGCCCAGGCAGCTGCTCAGAAATGAACTCTTGCCAAAAACTGCGTGTGTGAAAGCGTCGTTTCCTAAACGTATAAATATTCCCAGGGCTTTGCTGGAAAACTCCCCATGATTAGTTAAAACACCCTGGACGGCAGAGAGAGCACAAGCCCAGCGAGAGGGCATGTTTAAACAGAGACGGTCCAAGCAGCACGCAGGGGCACCTGCGCGCAGCGCTGACCTCAGGGACTGGCAGGTCCTCACTTCTTGATGAGGGATGCTACAAAGGTTTGGGAAGCGGAGGCTTTCCAAGCTGCCGTGCGCGTTCTCTCATCCAGCCAGCCCTGTGCCGCACCGTCACAGCTCCCTTCCAGCCAGGAGGTACTTACTGCTGTTGTTATTAAACGTCCACAATTTTAAGCTCTGTTTTATAGAGGGAAAGGCTGGAGGGGCTATCAGATCTCTCCATCTGACCTCTCGGCCACTAGCGTTTAACCACACACATCCCGATACTGAGCCCAGCAGCTTGGTTTTCTTCCAGGCAGGCTCCCAGCCCGCTTTTGGAGACATCAAGAGATGGAGAATCAACCACTGCCCTTGGGAGCACGTCCCAGTAGCTAATCACCCTCGGTAGCAAAACCATGTGCCTCATTTCTAGTTTGAATTTGTCTGGCTCCAGCTCCCAATCACTGGCTTGTGTTCGGCTGCTCTCTGCTAGATTAAAGAGAGCCCTTCAGTAACCAGTATTTTCTCCTTGTAAAGACCCTCACGCACTGTAATCAAGGCATCTCTCAATTTTCTTTCTGATAAGCTACACAGAGCTCTTCTCTTCCAAGTCTCTCACTGCCAGGCTCTTTCTCCAGCCCTCAACTGATTCCTGCAACCCTACTCTGATTGTCCAGTGTCTTTTTTAAAACCCAGGCACCAAAGTTGGCCGCAGCATTCACAGCTCCCCATGGCCTGTACTGGGGGACCTGCCTGCCCCTCCATCCCGAGGAGAACTGCTCCTAACAAGGATGTGTGCCAGGCTCAGGCCTTCAGCAAGGCGATAAGTGAGCTGGGAAAGGAGGCGAAGGCACCGGCTGAGCCCAGGCACTACCAACGCTTCCCCACAAGATCTGCAAGAGCACTGTGACACCTTGCAATGAAATTGCAAAACCAATACCTGCAAAGTAGCTACATGGTCCCTGAGATGAGCCCAGCGTCCTGGCTGGGCCAGGAAAGGAGGTGATCTTGGTGTTGCTGCCAATAGGTCTCTAGAAACCTCAGCTCCGGGCTCAGCCACAGCCAGAAAGGCAAAGGGAACATCAGGAGTGATTAGGGGATGAGGAGAGAACAAGGCGGTAAATATCACTGTGCCTTGGGGCAAATCACTCCTGTACCCCAATCCTGAACTCAGTGTGAAGCCCTGAGGCTGTTCCCTCTCTGAAAAAACACAGATGAATTGGCAAAACGCAGAGCAGCAGCAGAGGTGAGCAGAGGTCTGTAACAGCTTCTCTGCAAGGGGGGATTAAACTCATGCAGATTGTTCAGCTTGGGAGTCGGACAACTGAGGAATTCTGGTAAGAATCCTGTAAAATTCACACGATTTCTCCATGAAACTGTGTGGAGAAAATGAACAGCAAACTGGTATTTGTTGCCCCTCATTAATACAAGACCTAAGAGGTGTCAAGTGAAATGAGGAGGTATCAGGTTCGAAATGAAGGAAGCAGCTCTTTGCATACTGCACCTCTCTGCTGTGGAGCTCACTGCCGCAGGACCTTACATGGGCCAAAAGCATCAGCGAGTTTAAAAAAGGACTAGACAAATTCAGAGAGGACAAATCCGTACACGCATAGTGACCACAGAGCTGCGTCCCTCAGCCAGGCTGACCCTAAACTGCAGATGTTCAGGCACGGCTCCCAGGGGGCAGAGGGCAAGCACTACCCAGACCTTCCCATTCCTTGTCTGGTGCCCCAAGAGGCTGCTCCCGACCACTGCTGGGACAGACGCTGGACCAGGCAGACCAGGACCTCCCTCTGCACAGCCATTCTAGTGTTCTTCCTAGTCAAAGCCCATCTCTTTCACCCTAATACTGCCAACACTGCATCCAGAGGTCTGAGACTGAAGCATTGTTGCCTTCAAGAGACCTAACTCTGCTTACTGCATGTGGAGAACAGGATGGCTGGAGATATGCAGAGTCGCATGTCCCACAAATTAAAGTTTGGGACAGAGTATCCATTTGCAAGATCCAGCGACAGGAAAAAACCCTCCACGTACATAGATACGTTTTCATGTGTGCACACACAGCCGTGCAGGCCAGACTCCCCACACTTCATCTCCAAAACCCTGCTGGACATAACCCTTCCAGGCCAGGCCAGCTCTTGAGACCACCCCAGCAATTTCCCTCGGTCAGGCACAGCCGAAGGCAAAGAGCTGGCACGCATCATGCTACCGAGGAGCAAACCCAGCTCACCAGTGCCTGCTCCCAGGAGCCATGGCGCCAGCTGCACTCCCATCTTTTAAGTCTCTGTCCAACGAGTGCTCCACCAGTCCTTTTTGCATGGCTTTGCACAGGGCTCGCTGAGTTACTCCTCTCCTGAACGCCCCACCGCACGGGCGGTCACCCAGCACCACCAAGTACTGTCACCCATGCCCCAGGCACTAGTTCTTGGAGGACTCTCAGGCTCAAGCCTGATGTTCATCTTTAGCAGACATTGCTCAGCAGTCCCTTGGACAAAGATATACTTCATCACCCCCGATCCTGGCATATCTGCCTGCATTCTTCCAGCTACAGCACAGAAACCGTTATCGAGCGCGTCTGCCGTGTCTGTGCGAGTATCAATCATTTTACCACCTCCATCCACTAATAGGTTTATCCCATTGCTGGGAGTTTGGGGTTTCTTTTTTAATACACTAAATAAAAGCCTTTCCTTCTGTCCTTAGGCCTGCTAGTCATGATTTTTCCCTGATGCCTTTAGCTTCTGTTATCCATTTTCTACACTTCATAATTTCTAATTTATATTGATTGCTATCTACTCCCGCTCTCCCATTTGTTATAAACTGCTCTTTTATTTCTAATTGCTGCCTTCACTTCACCGCTGAACCAGAACGGGCTTTGGGCCAGAGCTGCCCTCTTTCTTGATTGTGGAATTGTGGCTTTTTGTGGCTTCTGAAATTCTTCTGAAAGAGCTCACAATTTTCATTCACATTTTTCTATCTAAATGTTTCCTTCTAGCTGATTTCACTCATAATTTCCCCCTGCTTTGGGAAATTAGCCCTTTCAAAGCATGAAGGATATAAATTACTGTTTAGGAATGTCCTTCCTTTGCCCAGGGTGAATGTAATCTGGCCATGATCATCGCTCCCTAGGCAACCTCCAAGTTTCAGTCCAGCAATGAATTCATCTCTATCCATCATAACCAGGGGGAAACGAAAGTTGCCTGTGCTGGATGCAATATCTTTCATGTAATGGAGGGTTCGCCTCCAATTTTTTGAAACTCTGTAGATGGTTTATTGCTGGCTGTGCAAGACCATCAGCATATGTCTCACAAAGCAACGTCCTGTCCAAGCAACATAACCTTTCTTTCCGCATGATGCCATGCACTCCTTACGTTCCCATCTGACTCTCTGGTCTCGAGCACACACCACTGCTCCCCACTCCTGGGCTCTCACAGCTAGCACAGAAACCCTCAGAAGCATCTTCAAACCCTGCCTCTTTGCATCAATGGGCATCAATTGTTCTGATGTTCCCACAATGTTTTGAATCATTTCAGTGCTTCGGTGATTGTTTCCAGCTATGAAGAAGGAGCAGGGGAAAGACACTCTCCTTCCAATCCTGATTTCTCTTAAGTACGTCTGCTTGGCAGAGCCAAGCACTGCTAAGGGGAGAAGGGTGGACACGACACCTAAATAACGGGATGAAAGTCGCTCATCCCTACGACGAGCTACAAAGCCACTCTTAAAAGCAGCAAAAGAACCAAAAGGAGCAGCTAACTGATCAGAAGTTAAGTCCTCCCTGTCGGTGTTTTAGGCACACAGCAAGTGCAGGAAGCAGGCAAGGACTCCCCAGCGACCCCACGCTCCCGTGGAGCCCTGCAGACCAGGTGCAAAGACACAAGCGAGGGCCATAGCAGAGCGCAGCCTCTCCAGCCAAGCCTGGCCATCCCCACCAGGGCCCATCCAACCGTGGCCCAGCACACCAATGCCAATTGGCCTCGTACACCTCTATCCAGGGTGCCACGAAGCAGGGGCTGCTGGCGCAGGTTCCCCAGGATGCCTTTGCCGAAAGAGGGAAGCTTTGTACCTCTTCTTACCTCAGCCATGAAGTTCTGCAGGAAAGTCTCCTCCTGGAAGGGCTCCGTCCGCAGGCGGTCTGCAAGAGAGAGAGGGGATCAGCCCAGGCAAGTCTGGCCAGACCTCCACCCTGGCTCCACCTTTCCCCTGCCCATGGGGGAAAGTGGTTGCAGGCACCAGGGGAGCAGCTCCACCACACTGGAGAGCCCAGATGGGCCCGTCAATCTGGGAACACATCAGCCAGCTACCAGACGCACAGGGACCACCAGAAGGAAGTGAGTGAATAGCCCCTGCTGTGCGGGCACATCGGCGTATCACAGCCCGAGGGTGCCCAGGGCACAGCAGCATTGCTGGCAGAAGCAGCATCCCTACACTCAGGGGCAGAAGGAGGTAATCACACATTTCGGTGCCTTCACTCAGCTTCTGCAGCGACTCCTTTGGGGGCCTGTGGTGATGACTTGGGCCCGTTCACACACACAGCTTGTCGGTAACACAGCACAGCCCAGAGCTGGCCCTGCACTTGTCCCAGCGCCCTCTCACGCAGAGCCACTCCACAGCAAGGACCAGGGAAACAGTAGCAGGACATATTCAGCACCATTCCTAGACCTTATGGCTTGAAAAGACCTTCTGGTCCTGGACACCATCTAGCCACACACCAGAGGACAGAGGACTGCCCATCTCCAGTTCCTTTTCTGGAGGGACAAGTCAGCCAGCTTTCCCATCTTGTCAAACAGGGACAAACCCCTGTTCTACCTCATTCTGCTGGGTCCCTCATTCAAAGCCCTATTTTTTTCCCATCACTGCAAAGGCACTGAGAAGCACATGGCCAGGATGCGTTCTTTCATGCCAGGATGCTCAGGCAACAGACAAGAGAGGATGCCTGCCCACACCATCCCAGCATCAGTCCCAGTTCCCAAAGCGGGGCTCTCCTGGCTGCTCTGAGCCCTGCAGAGCTGGCACACCGCAGGAGAGAGGGGAGTCCTGTTGGCTCGCGCACCTTTCAGTGCAGCTGCAGGGCAGATGCAGGCTCCCATCTCAGCCTGTGCCAGCAGAAGCAGGGAAGCGCTGCGGTGCAGGGGCCTGCACCACACCGCATTCCTGGCAGTGCCACACAAGTCACTGCTGACCCAGATCTGCCCCTGCATCCCGGGGGGCACAAGGTCCCTGGGGAATGGCAGGTATCATCTCCCCACGCAAGCCAAGCAGGTCTGAGCTGGAAGCCTGCGCCTCCCGGCTCTCGCTCCTGGCCCCACACATGCTCCCACCGCAGGCTGAGCAGCGGGAGGAGAGCACAGCCTGCAGACCAGCACCAGTCCCGGCCTCCTACCAGGCCCTGGGCAGCAGGGCAGAGCACGGCGCTGACACAGGACAGCCCGAGAAGTGGCGTCCAGACAAACTCTGGATGCTGAGGACGAGCCCTTCCGCATGGTCCCTCCGTGCAGGGCCTGATCTGTGTCCCCCTTGCCTACCCAAGGGGGCTTGCACCCATCCCCCCCCCACCGCTCCCCCGGGGGCTGAGGCAGGACGCCCCATGCCCACGGCTGCCCTTCCAGCAGCGAAGAGCCGGGAGCCCCTGGTTGCCCTCCAAGCACGCCGCGCGCTGCCGCGCAGGGGGAGGAAGCCCGAAAAAGGCCTTCGCTGGCTTCAGCACAGGTTCCTGGGGAGCGGCCAGGTGCTCTCAGCAAAGCGGAGAGCCCCTTGGCGACTCCCCAAGTCCTCCGGCTCCCGGTCACCGGCCGCTCCTCCCCAACTCTCCCCCGGGGCTGCTCCCCAGCCTTCTGGCGACCATCTCGCTGCACATGAAACACAAGCCCCGCTGGGTGACAGCCAGACGGAGCAGGGCATGCCAGCCCTGCGCAAAGAAGGAAACGCGCTCCCTGCTCACTCCTCTCGTCCGCCCGGGCTTCCCTCCTTACCTCTGCTCAGAGCAGCCCCGCTCTCCCTGTAGTCTTCAATCTCGGCATCTTTCTGGAGCAGCAGGGAGGCCAGCTCCTGCAGCTGGGACTGCAGCACCAGGCTCATCCTCATCAGGGGCCGCACCAAGTGCCGGGAGACCTGGGACAGAGGAACGACAAGCTAGGCAAGGTCCACAGAGGCGCACGGCTGTCCATGCAGCAAAGCAGTCACCGCAACGCCCGAGAGAAAGCTGCTGCCCCAGGTCACAGAGGGCTTCCCCAGACATCCCCCAGTGTCACCCAAGTCCAGTAGGGAGCGGTGGAACAGCAAGAGCTGGGAGAAGGGAGGCAGGATGCCATGGGGTACGTCCCCCATCCCAGCCCCATCCTTTCACAGCCGGTGAGGGCCCAACGGGGATGCGGAGCAAGCGATGCTTCAGCTACCATGAGAAACTCAGGGTGCAGGAAGAGGCAGAGAGCCCCTCCATGCAGCTCCCAGCCTGCAGCGGGGCCTCCAGACCCTCCTCATGGCTCTGTGCACCCCAAAGCATGTTTCTACACAGCTGGGCCTAAAATCCAAAAGGAACCGAGCTGTCAAACTGTGGCTTGAAGAAACAAAGAGACTTTCTCAGGAGGTGAGATCAAAAGCAGAAGGGATCCCTACCTCCAGGGCTCACACGGGCCCCTGCTGTGCTCCCCATCGCAGCCCACGACAACCCCCTTAGCTTACGGCCACACGATTCCCTGGGCACATCCCTGCCCCGCAGCCAGGCTGGGCCACCCTGGCCCACCAGGAACATGAAGCAGCCTCCTGCCCATCAGCCCCTCGGAGAGTGTCGGTGAGCCCCCCTCCCCAGTGCTCCCCTTGTCTTTGAGACCAGGCTGTGCCCGTGGGTGGGAGGACAGCAAAAGCATCGCTCCTGAAGCCTCCCCACTCCCAGAAGCAGCATGTCGCTGGCACACAGCCTGCGGTGAGCCCGCGATGGGGCTCTACACCCCAAGGCGCAAGCTGCCGAGACCGGGACCCTGGCACACAGCCCCGCGCTGCTGCACAGGCAGTCAGGAGGCACCGTCCGCTGCAGAGCTGGGACGCAGCGAGCAGCTGTTTCCCACCTCGGTTCAGTGTGCGCCTTGTGCTCCCGGCTGGCTGCTGAGCAGCACTTGGCAGGGCAGGATCAGACCCCGCTTTGGAATTCAAGGCAGACACGCTCCGCACCTCAAGCACTTCCTGCCTCCTGGGCACCTTGCAGACTTTCGCTGCGTTTCCAAACAAAGGGAGAGGAGCAGGTACCGGCCGAGGGCTCAGGCTGCCGCTTTGCACCATCTTGGCTCAGATCCCGTGCTTCTTGCCCAGGGAGGGACAGCAAGTCCCCAGGGCGAGCCGAGCCCTGGGGGGCTCCGACCTTGTCTGGTCCCTGGGGCAACAGCAGAAGCGCTCAGATGCCCCATGCCCGCAGCCAGCTGGCGAGCCCAGCTCTGCTCCCTGTAACACTCAAGTACAGCTATTGGTGGGTCACGTCCCCTCAGAGGGGAGAAGGGCTGGG